CAGAAATGATTCAGTGGAGGACTTGATGTCCATGGCCAAGGCACCAGAGGTTCAACAAACAAAAGGCACGTTGGATTGGTGAGATTTTCCTGCACAAGAATAAGATATTCCTACCTCTCTGAAGAATGTCTTAATTATGCTTAAAGTTACAATTTGCATCCTGAGTTCCGATAGCCCACTTCTAAGTCAAGCCTTCCTACTTGTAACCCCAGAGGTTGACCTCAGCTTGGCTGAGATGTAGTCACTTCTGTGTATAAAAACCCTAGACAAAGTGTTCCCTTGGCTGCCCATTCAGGTCCTCTTCCAGGTTCATTTGTCTGGGGGCTTTTGCTCTGGCTTTACTTTAAATGCTGTTTCTTGTTTTCATTCCACAATAAATACTTTTGTTCAATCCTCTTTTGACACTCTACCTTGTAATTCTTTCTGGGTTGAGAGAAGAACACACCAGCTGGACAGTAATGATGCTGATCCTTGCTAGCAGGTTCCCATGACTGAGATACCAGGGCCAGTGTTATTTCAAGGAGGCTGACTGACTGTCTTTCTGGGCACTATGAGACTGATCATTAATAAAAGGACCCTTAGTGCAAGACACTTACAAAGGCTAGGGTAATGTAAAACTTCCCTCTTTAAGATATCTTAGATGGCTATAAAAGAATAAAAGTGAGGCCAAAAATCTTTCTATGAGGACAGCAGCACTGCATTTAGACCTCTGTCTAGCTCTATTAACCAACTGACTAAGAATTTGGCTTTTGAAAACTTTCAGGTAACAAAAGATAAGCCTAGGGCCTAAGAAGTTTGGAAAATTAGATAGAAGATTCCTCAGTAAAGTCAGTGTCCCCAAAACTGACCCACTCCTTGATAAGTGAGTAAGAACCAAAACCACCCTTCAAAAAGAGATTGATTCATTTCACTCTTGGCTGAAGTGAGAGTTGAAAGAGGAAATAGTGGGGGAAGGGGGTCTTTCTCTAAAACTTTCTAAATTCAGCCCCTACTCGAGTTTATCTAAATTGAGTGGAAAGCAAACTTTAGTTACTCTAGAAACCTGAAAAAATAAACAGGTTTTCTCGGAAGGAACCCATTTGAACCACATACCTCATCATATTTCAGACTCATAAAAACACAAGCTACCACCCGTGGTCATCAGCATTGACCAGCAAAGCCTGTGGATGTGAGTTATCAAATGCAGAATAGGAAATATATGTCTAGGAAAACAAGAAGACCGTGAATGATTAGGGAAGGTACAAGAGACTATCAACGTGAAATACGAAGATTTCAGAAAATAAAAAAGTAATTAAATTAACTAATGGATGGATTAAACAGCTTTTAAAGCTGAACAGATTTGACAAACTAGAACACAGATTGGAAGAAATCACAAACAACACCAGCAAAGAAACAAAGAAAAAATATATATACAACCTGGATCCACAGAAGACAATATGAAAATGTCTCACATTTATCTACTTAAAGCTTCAGAGGGACAAAAGCAGGAGAATGAAAGAGAACAAATTTTCAAGGACAGATAACTAGAACATTCCTGTCATTAAACAGAGACAGATCCTCAGATCAGAAACTCCAGTAAATCCCAACCTGGATGCATACAAATAAAACCATGAACATCAAAGTCAAAGTGCAGTTGTTAAAAGCCAGAGAGAAAAAGGCAATCAACCAAGACTGAGAACTGACTCATCAACTATAGCAATGGAAACTAGGGAAAGAGTGAAATAGTACCCGCAGTGCCAACAACAAATAATTCCTAACCAAGGACACTAGTTCCAGAAACAGCACTGTTTAACACTGCAAATGAAATAAAGATATTTGCAGGCAAAAACTGTGAGCACAAGTAGATTCCTCTATAAAGAAAATAATAAATACACAAATAATATTTCTGGAAGAAGGAAAATTAAAATGACATAAAACTAAGTCAAAACTACAACCTTGAATAACAAGAGTATGTAAGTTAGGAAGTAATTAACGTATGCCATACTACTTACATTATCTGAAAAGCAGAAGGTTATTGATAAACTCAAAATTTCTTAAAAAGATGTTTTAAAAAATCCTCTAGTGCAGTGGTGGTGAACCTATGGCACCAAAGCCACAGCAGACTGTTTAATCACTGAAATCTCTGAAAGGCTCACCAAGGTTCACTGCTGTATGGTAACCATGAACATAAGTAAATATAATATATCTCTTCCAAACTAGTTGCAGGTTAGGGAGAGGCAAGATTCAATGAAATAAGCAGAAAAATTCTCAATTAATTTAATAGCAAATTTTTTTGGTCTTTTTGAGACAGGGTCTAACTATGTGGTTCAGGCTGGCCTTCAGCTCACTTTGTAGCCCAGGCTGGGCTCAAACTTGCAACGATCCTCCTGCCTCAGACTCCACAGTGCTGGGATTACAGGCGTGTACCACCACGCCCAGCTCATTCTCAATTAATCTAAAAGAAGGTCGTAGTAGGGGAAATGGAAAGAACACGTAGTAAAACCAAGTGAAATAGAAAGTCTAAGTAAGAGATGGTAAATTTAAATTCATTAAAGATAGATATATGCATATATATAATCACAGCTTATATAATTGGACCGGACTTGCCTCTTCACTTAATAAACAAAAGTTATCAGAATGGATAACAAGAAGTCCACATGTTCTGCCTTCAAAAGATACTCCAAAAAGTTAAATACAGTCGTACCTCTGTTCACAAACAGAAGCATTTGGCAAAATTTTGTTCTTGTTTGGGAACTCTGCGTGGGGTGATGAACACACCCACAGCCATCTTTCCCACATGAACACAAATGGGGCCATCTTTCCAGAAGTGTGGAATGAATTGCGTTTGTGAACCAAGGTACCACTGTATATGGCAAGTTTAACGAAAGGATGGGGGGCTATAAGGAGCAGCTGTATAGTGAGCACAGAGTGTTAGCTGTGCAAGATAAAAAGTTTCTTGACACTGAACAGCAATGTGAATATACTTAATACTACAGAATGGTATATTTAAAATGGTTAGTATGGCAAACTTCGTTTATATGTATTGTATCACAGTTAAAACATTTTAAAGGATTGGAAAGCTTATCCCAGACAAATACTTATCATGAAAGAAAAAAATTAGTGCTATTAAATATTGCTTTTTAATATCACAATTTAACTACATATATTTTGATACTTAAAACACTCCTAGGAATAAAGAAGACCATTTCATATTGGTAAAAGGTTTAATTCAACAGAAAATATAACATTTCTAAACCTGTATATACTTTATACCATATTTTAAAAATGTATGAAATAAAGGGTCTCTGCTGACTCACCACCTACAGCTGGCCACCCGCAGCCAACTGGCAGGCGCTGACAGTCACACAGCTGCCTACAACACTGGTGAGAATGTAAACAAGTACAACCACTTGTACTTGTGGAAATCAATATAGAGAGTCCTCAAAGCACTAAAACTAGAAATTCCATCTGACCCAGCTATTCCCCTTCTAGGTATCTTCCCAAAAGAGTGAAAGTCATCATATTACAGTGATACAGGCATGCCCATGTTTGTAGCAACACAATTCACAACAGCTACATCTTAAAAGCAGTATGTCCATCAACAGATGAACAATTAAAGAAAATGTGGTATTTACACACAATGGAGTATACTCTGCCATAAAGAAGGATAAATGAGTCATTTGGAGGAAAATGGATGTACTTTAAGACCATAATGTTAAGTGAAATAAATCAGATGCATAAGCTTAAATATTGCATAGTTTCTCTTACATGAGAAACTCAAATATAAATTAAAATCAAAATAAAGGCTAATAGGGAAAAAGAAGTGGAAGGACAGGGGAGGGAGAGTAGGAAAAAATACAACTGGCCAAGAAGAGTGGGTAAAGGGACATAAAAAGAATTAAGATGTATTATGTATTATTTATATGTACCAACTCCTCAGAATGAATGTAATTATTATGTACCACTAACATGTACTAATAAAAAAATGACATAAAACTCCAATGAATGTTTCAATGAAAAGCTCATCATCAGAGTATTACCTTTTAAGATATGTACCACAGGAAAAAATTGGTCAAGCACATTGAAAACATTATGGATACTGAACATGCAAACCACAAAGTAGTAACCTTAATTTAGTGGATTCTATAGAACACGATACTCTGAACAAAAAAATATACATTCCTTTGAGTAGCATATGAAATACTTGTCAAAATTAACTATAGTAAGTCTCAACATGTTCTTTTGAATGTGATAGGTTTTAAACCCAGGGCCTCGTGTATGATAAGCAAATGCTCTAGCACTAAGTTATATCTCCAGCCTTAAATATATTTTCTAAAATCAGTATCATGCAAAGCAATTATTGGATCACAACAATAGAAAAAAATCAATCACCAGCATTTTTTACACTGGAAAACCGGTATGGAGAAGAAATCAAATGCATATTTTATTATAGGGGCCTAATTTTAAGGACACTGTGTGCTACGTCTAGTTTGTTGGAAATTTAGGAAGGTCAGTGAACAACTCCACTTCCCACTTGAATTTAGAACTAACTTACAGATTGCATAGTCAGGAAAGTGGAAATAAAATTACCAGTTTATTAACAAAACTTTTTCTGCAGACCATGGCTTAGTTGCATGTTAATGAGCTTGCTTATCTGCTGCTCTGAATTGAGTTTACTACGTAAAACTGCAGGCAATCTCCACAGGAATGGAGCCTCTACCTCCAAGTTCATTGCAAGATGAAGTGCAAACCAGACGCATGGTCCCACAGGCAGACAGATCCCCAAGATAGCCTGATATGCACATGCCCACTCCCATTTCCAAATTCAGTAACTGAGCAAGTCACTTCTTCCCATTATAAAGAAAGAGCAAATAGGATAGAGAAAAGAAAAAGCCTTCCATGTGAAAACACAGAATAACTGATGAGGATCTCTCGAACAATAAATAAGGAGGGAAGCTCAGTCCTAGTAAGGACTAGGGTGGAGAAGCACAAAGGGAACACAGTTTTCCGACCACCCTTACCTCCCTCCTGGCGCTGGGCTGTGATGTTCTGTTCACATTGCACTTTAGCTTTCATAATAAGGACAATCTGCTCCTCTATAGTAATGACGCCATCAGAGTCCAGCTGCAAAAATGAACAAAATGCAAATGTTTCCATCCTCTTTCTTAAAAAGCCATGATACAAACTTTCATTAATCTTATCTTCTGGTACAACTGATGTTGAATTTTGATACCAAGCTATCTGAAACAGTCCTCTATCAGAAACAAAATGTAAAATCCAGAAATGGAAAATTTTACTTTTATCTGATTAGGCTTACAGATAAAAATGTAACATCAGAAAATGTAAGGAAAATTTTTAATATACTTAAGTAATTATATTAAAGATGATACAA